AGCCCCTTCCCTCTGCTCTTCCCTCCTCTCCAGGCGATGGATTCTCCCTACGCCAACGGAGCCTACAGCCCCCCGTACCCCCCGGCGGCGGGTGCTGCCCCACACTACGCCGTCCCCCCGCAGACACGGGGGTACTACTGCTCCAGGGCCCCACGCACCTCCTACCCCACCGACTCCACGGGCATCTACCGGCCCCCCTCGCCCGCTCCCCCCTGGAGCTACGTCCCCCCGGACGGCCCCGTCGAGGGCTCCTCTCTCCGCAGGCAGCAGGTTCCCGGCTACTCCCCGCCGCAGGTAAGAGCCGTTTCCAGCCCCGGTGTCCATGTAGGTGCTGGGCTTCCCCTTCCCGGGGGGAGAAGATGATGTTTTATGGGGCCACAGCAGAGGGAAAGCCCGAGGTGCCTCCTCCGATGGATCCGTGGGTCCTAACGGCACCTTCTCCTGCCTGTTTTATTATAAAAAGTGGTGGTCACCCCATTCTCCAAAGAATCCAAGTTTGTGGGCTGGGAAAGCAACAAGGCAGTTCCTGGGGCTGGCTGGAGGGACCCGGGGGTAACGCCTGTCCCCCCTTCTCTTACAGACCCCAGGCATGCCCATCCCGCAGTATCCGTACGGAGACAATCCCGGGGTGACGCCGCAGGGGCCTCCGCCACAGCCCAGAGCCCCGGAGGACTCGTGGGGTCCCCCCATCTATGGGGTGCAGCCCCGTTATGCCTGGCCCGCTGCCCCCACCCTCGGGAGCCCCTTCGTCTCCGAATCGCATCCACCCTGGACCGGCAGTGGAGCTGCTCCCCACCCTCCCACGTGGGACTCAAAGGTATGGCCGATGCTCCTGCAGTCCTTCTGGCTGCCCTCGGACCCCTGAGGTTGTAGGGCTTTCCCCAGAGCCCATCCCCATCTCCTGGGAATGCCCCTTTCTCCGGGCACAGTTGGTGTAGGTGGAAACAAAGCAGCAGGTATCCAGAGCACTGCCAGCAAAAATCTCCTGTTTGCATCCCAAAATCCATGGCTGGAGATCCCAGGAAGGTGCTGGAGATCCCAGGAAGGTGCTGGAGATCCCAGGTGTCCCAGGGCAGGTCTTGAAATGGGTCAGTCCTGGTCTTGCTCCTCCAGTTCTTCTCTCCCAAGCAGCACATGGTGTCAGGAATCAGCAGGACCAACCCCCCGGACAGTTTCCAGACTCGGATATTCCTCTGCAAGTGCCTGGTTTGGGCACAGTCACCCTCTGCTGAGGAAGGATTTAAGCCAAAAATTTAAGGAAGTGATGTATTTGGTGGGGTCTGTTCATCTCGGGGTCCTCTGGGTTTGATCAGGAGGTTCGGTCCCCGGAGCAGCCCTGATGGGGTGGGGGGATTTGGGGGGGTTTGGGAACAGCTCAAAAGTGCTACCTGCAAAGAAGTGTCTTCTCCAGAATATCCAAATGGGATCCAAATCTCCCCTCTTCCTGGGTGACAAGTGGCCCACGCTGTTTCTTCCAGACACGTCCCTCTTGCCAGGGATCTGCTCTTTAACGGCCCAGGACCAGAGTGTGGGTCCCGTGTCCCTCTTTGGGACCTTTCACAGCCCGTTTGGCAGGACAGGGGGTGCCAGCCCCTGGGGACACGACGTGTTATGACGTCACGGTGTGGGACAGTCTAGAAAATCCTGCCCAGGTCCCTGGTAACGTCAGGCCTGACCCCATCCTCCCAGACATGCCCACCTCAGAGCCGTCACCGTGTCTCCTGCCCCCCCCTTCCCTCAGCCCTGCCTTTCCAGTGCCAGATTAAACACCCAGGGGGTTGAAGGAAATGCTCCTCAGGGTTTTTTTTCTCCCTCCGACTGTAGGACAGCGCTTACGACAGCCCCGAGCAAAGCCCAAACCAGCACCACTACTATCCTGATGTCCACCACCAGCACGCTGGGACAATGAGTGACCCCAAGCCAGCCCCCCCCAACCCCCGGGTGCAGTACAGCGCCCAGCCCCACATGTACGACACTGCCCCTCGGAAGCCCTCGACCAACAGCCGGGGGGCTGGTTTTAAACCCAACGACCAGCCATCGACCAATTCTGGAGCCATCCAGCCCGAGATCCAGCGAATCCTCCAGGTGGTGGGAGAGGCTGAGCAGCTGGAGCAAGAGGTGGATGAATTTGTAGGAAAAAAGACAGATAAATCCTACCGGCTCCTGGAGGAGATGTTGACCAAGCTGCTGCTGGAACTGGATTCCATCGAGACTGGTGGCCAGGACAGTGTTCGGCAGGCCAGGAAAGAGTCCGTCCACAGAATTCAGGCCATACTGGAAAAACTGGAAAGAAAGGGATTGTGAAAGCACATCAGCCACAACACACAGGCCGTTGTTGAGGCTCCAAAGAGTTTTAGTTCTGTTAAATCTCAGCTCTTTCTGCTACGCACTATTGACAATGGAATAGCAATAAGCCCCGACTTAAACACACAAATAAAACCACCAACCGACCCCCCCCCCGCCAGCCCAGCCCCAACCAACAACCTGGCAACGGACAAATGAAAGGTCTGAAGCAGCAAACTGTGAATTGTTTGTCTGTTCCAGGCTCTGGAGAGGCAGAGCCACCCCAGGTGCTTACGCTGTCGAGGACTCTGTGGGCATCTGCGGGAAGAAACCCAATGTACAGAGTTCCCCAGACCCACCCCTGATCTCTAGGTGCTTCCTGCAGCCCCAGCAGTTCCTCACGCAGCCGGAACCCTTGTCAGATGTGGTCACAGCCGTCCTGCAACGAGCAGCCACACACCGAGAGCCTGGGCTCGTCGGTCACCACCTGTGTTTCCAGCTTCAGCTTCCTCACCATAAAACCTTGTGTGCCGTGGTGGGGTTTGGCTTGGTTCTAGTGCCCTGAAGCAGAAAGGGACCACGCTGGCCACCCGAGCAGGTGTCATGTCGTGCTGTTCCTCCTGTGTCACCAAGAGCTGGTCCCTGGTTTCCCCCGTGGACACAGGAACAGCCCGGAGATCTCCATTCTGCCCCTGGAGAGGTACAAGCAGAGGAACAATGTCAGAGCAGAGTGACCTGAAATGGCAGGATGCTTGGAAATGCTTCCAGGTCACTTGGGTAACAAAAAAAAAATCCACTTTTTAATTGTAAGGTCCTTCCACGTACTGCATTTTTGTATCCCACTGTGACACCACCCTGGTGGCACCCAGCACCGCGGAGGGGACGGGAACGGCTCGGCCCAATCTTAACCTCCTGGTTACAACATGTGAAGTGACTCGTGACCGTGTGTGACGAGACAATAAACCCTGACAGCTTTTAAATGTTATTTTGTAATTAAGACATCTCAAGGTCTCCTTTCTTTAAAAAAAGAAGCTGTGGGCAAGGTTGTGTAACTCAGACCTGCCCGTAACCAAAGCTGCCTCAGCGGCTGGGGGTCAGGGATGAAGGCAACAGGTCACCTCCGAGCATCCCTGTTTGGGGGTAGGGGGGGAGAGGGTCCCCCATCGCCTCCCAGGTGGTGCAGATGCCCCAGGAGCCTTCAGCCCTGGCTGCAGGGCTGGTGGCCAGGGTCTGGAAGGGATGGGAAGGGTTCTGGAAGGGAAGGAGATCTGGAAGGGGCTGGGAAGGGATCTGGAAGGGGCTGGGAAGGGATCTGGAAGAAGATCTAGAAGGGGTTGGGAAGGGCTCTGGAAGGGAAGGTTGGGAAGGGATCTGGAAGGGAAGAAGATCTGGAAGGGGCTGGGAAGGGATCTGGAAGGGGCTGGGAAGGGATCTGGAAGAAGATCTAGAAGGGGTTGGGAAGGGCTCTGGAAGGGAAGGAGGTCTGGAAGAGGTTGGGAAGGGCTCTGGAAGGGAAGGAGGTCTGGAAGGGAAGGAGGTCTGGAAAGGGGTCTTGAAGGGGTTTGGGAAGGGATCTGGAAGGGAAGGAGGTCTGGAAGGGGTTTGGGAAGGGATCTGGAAGGGAAGGAGGTCTGGAAGGGGGTCTTGAAGGGGTTGGGATGGGACCTGGAAGGGTCTTCGTGTGGCTGAGGCTGGGAGCACCCTGACCCTGCGCCCTGGGGGCTGCCCATGTCCTGAAGGCACCCGGCAGATCCCCCACCGTTCCCGGACGGGACTGACCTTTCCATCTCGTTGGCTGTGTCTGGGATGACGTGGTGCTCAGCCTGCAGACACCGCTCCCCCCGCGAGGTGAAGCCAGGAAAGAGCTGAGTGTCCTGGGAGGGATAAATGCTATTTTATCCCGTCTTCTTGTCGGGCAGAGAGCAGCAGACACCCCCCCGAGCTGTCCCTGCTTCGGATCCAGCGTGAAATCCACCCCATGAGGCCGGGGGCTGCTCGTGGGGACAGAGCGGAGGGACAGAGCGACGCTGTCACCACATCACACAGAAAAACAACATCCCAGCCCCAGCCAACCCCATTTCCCTGCCTCTGACAAAGGCAGCAGTGTCAGCAGCTTCTCCAGCCATTAATCCCCGCTTTGGGGTTGTTTCTTTTGGTGAAAATCCTCGTGGAAGGGGCGATTTCCACCCAACCAGCCTTGCTACCGGGGGGTTTTTAAACCAGGAGGGGGGTGTCCACCCCTCCTCCTTTCACCATCTGGTGTAAAGTCTTGGTAAATGCTGCCCCTAAAGCCCTGGAATCTTCCCCCAGAGACTGCTGCGGGTTCACTGCATTAGCCTAATACAGTAATGACTTTATGTAGGTTTGGGTTTTTTTGTTTGAAAGGGAGGAGTATGGGCAACAAAAGCCACCATGAAGGCAGGCTGGGTGGGGGGCAGGGAGCTGAGTCCTGGTGCTGGGGGGGAGCTGGGGACTCGCCTCCAGAGTTACTGGGTCCTGCCCTTCTGCTCCTGCGGCAGCTCCCGCGGGGTTTGGCTGTAAAAGGCTTTGAAGGAGATGAAAAAGGAAAGAAAGGAATGTAAGTACCCACAGAGACCTACCTTACTGCATTCTAGAGAAGTCAAGAGGTGCTGAATCCCAGCGGAGCGGGACGAGCCACGGTGCTTGATGCCATGTTCTGCCACGGGCAAAGGCTCTGCTCTCGGGGGGCTCAAAAGGAGAGAAGGGGTGATGCTGGGGGGTAGAACAGCCTCTGCTGCATTTCTCCTTGGTGCTCAGGGCATGGCTGACCTCAGAAACCATCCTGGAAGGCTCTGCTGGAGGCGGCTGCACGTTTGATCCCGTAGCTCCTATTTGGGAGCAGAGCCAGCCCTGGTTACAGTGTGCCCACCCTGCCCCACTTCGCTCTCTGGCCAGCTGAGGGTCAGCACCACGTCCAGGCCACAGTCTCACCACGTTTGGGCTCTCCAGGGAATTACCAAAGAGCTCATTTCACCCTCTGTTGCCACATTTGTTTTGTTATTTGGTTGGCATGGCTGGTGGAATAAAGGTTTGGGTTCCCTCCGCCCAGGACCCAGCCAACGTCTGAGATTTGTTGTCGCAAGAGATGGTGCAAGTCCTGCTCGGGCAGAGAGTGCAATCCTTCTGCTCCTCAATCAGGGCACGTTGCCTGCTACGGCTGAAAAGGACAGGTCGTGGTGCCGGCGGCAGCTTCACCCCCCTCCCAGCAGCGGGGTCTCCCCCCTTTGCTGGACCAACCCCTTTTCCAGAGCCCCCCAGGAAGGGGCAGAACCGCAGCCGAGCTCTAACCCCGCACCCCCCGGGGCAGGGCTCCCTCCCGCTGCCCGTGGGCTTCACTGCTCTTTTTGCCACTCTCACCCCAGAAAAGTGGCCACGAAGGGGGTGCTGATGCCTCAGCCCCCCTGCTTTTTTGGGGGGAGGTGGCGTTATCAGCAGCAGCACGTCCCTGCTTATGGGGAGAACAGCAGCAGCCAGCAGCCAGCTCCAGAGAGCCTGGGAGCGCGGGTCTGGCTGCAACGGTGTTTTCTGTGTTTGTTTCAGCAGCAAGAACTGCACCAGGAACAAAACTGTATTGTTGACGGCATCCTGTTTGCTCTCAACAGCCGTTTCCCTCCCCTGGCAGTTGCCAGGGAGAAGGGGTGAGCCGTTCTGAGGAGGAGTGAGGAGCAGCCCTGAGCCCTCACCGGCTCAGCAGCACTGCAATGCAGTCAGCTCGGGGAGAATTGAATTAACACACCCTCAGCAGCTCTGTCACCAGTGCTCTGTGCCCTGGGACAAAGGTTTCCTGCTGCGGAGACATGGTAGAGAACGATACCTTTATCTGCTGATTGGAAAAACTGAAAGGCCGTGCGTGGCACAGGAGGCAAAGTCTGGGAGGGAGGAGGGAGGGGGGGTCCCTTCTCCGGGGCTGAACCCATGGAGGTAACGTATTCCTTCACAATAATTCCTCTCCTGGAGTTTAATTCCCCGCGTGTGGGAAGGAGGTGGCAGAGGGTTATGTAAACCCTGGCGACAAGCACAGGAGAGAACAGCCCAAACTGGGCTGAAATGGCAGGTTCCAGCGTTTCAGCGGGGTTGGGAGACAGACGTGGGGGCAGCCGATGTTCCCGCACCCCCCGACGGGGGGTTTCTGGGTGTTTCCCCC